CTCCCCACTGGGAAGGGTCTGCTGGTGGCCTGAGAGAGGGCAGGCTGGGAGCTGAAGGCAGCTATGCCCTGAGGGAGCCAAGTTCACAAGACATGCAGCTGCAGAGGCTCCACACCTCTCCGGAGAAGCTCAGGGTAGCCCTGGAGTCTGGGGGTGGAGGGGGTGCACATCCAGCAAGCAAATGCTTCTCCTCCATGGTGTCTCTCCAGCGCCCTCGTCTGATGAGGCTTCAGTACCAGCTGACAAAGGCCTAACCCTTAACGGGGGCCAAGTCCACTGCCCAGAGCAGGCTGATGGTAATTGAAGCTGAAAGCAAGAATATCAATTACGGACACAATGGCGAAACATGGGGCAGCAGAACCCTCGGAGGACAAGGGCGGTGAAGCCTCAGAGCATTGCTGACATCATCTGCAGAGCTCCCTCTCTCCAGTTCTTGCCACTGCAGCTCAGAATGACCCGAAGAGGTGAGACCCACGGCTTCTTTGTTATGGTCCTGTTATCTTTACAGAGCTGTAAATTCACTGAACATGAATTCAGCGAGGTTTACTTCCAAGGCCATTCTGCAGAGAAGAAATAGAAGCCTCACTCTAACACATACCCCACAGAAAAGTATCCTCCTTTACCCTGGCCATCCCAAATCACCAGCATTACGGAGCAATTTACCGGCCAAATTTAAAAGATATAACGCCAGCACTAAGAGAGCTACAGAGTTGTTTCTTTCCAATTATATTTACCAACTCAATTGAGAATTCCCATGACTCTCAATTATTGTTTATTGACATAAAAATTAAGGTCCCTACGACGGAAGGTCCTCTCATTCTTGCTTGTCACACAAAGCCAAGACCTGCACAAAGCCACGGCTTCTCTGATGGGCGAACTAGAAAAAAACACATCTATTCACCTGCTCAGAGAGACAAAAACTTTTCTCTCTTGACCCATATTCTAGATGGTAAAAACAAAACAAAACAAACCAGATAAACAAACAAAAAAACAAAACAAAACAGAACCCTCCCAATAAAATTAATAACTATAGTCTTTTGCATATGTTAGTTTTAGATTCACATATATGCTATTTACATAGTCCAAGAAGACTAATGACATAAAGTGTACAGAAAAGTGGCCTCAGGTTGGTATTACTTAGCAGAAGCAAACACAAAAATCTCTCTGGAGGAATAATCCCTCAACCCCCTACAAGATTCCCTGGAGTAAAGTTTATTAACCATGAGGTCACAATCTGAAATTACACAGCACAGCCAGAGACCCTCCAGCATGAGCAAGAGTCAGGCGAACACAAACAAGATAGAACGTCCTTCCCCAGAACTTCAGATAAGAGAACAGCATAAGAAATTTTACAAACTAAGAAAACAGAACATAAGAAAGCACTTCTCAGAGGACAATCTGAGAAGTAATCAGCTGGTTTGCAAATGGGATTGAAAGAAATTGAGAGAAACTAAAAATTCTAGACTTACAGAGTTGAAAGAAGTTACTTCTTCTCAACTCCAACAGTGAAAAGGTAAAATAGAGAAATGATTTAAATAAGAAAGTCCTTTTTAAGCTTGGCCTTGTGCAAATACCAAATCAAGGTGTGATTGTCTCGTCAACTGTTAAAAAAAATTCTCTCAGTAGACTAAGATAATGTCCTGTAAATAACTTTAGTGGGCAAAATGGCCCCCAAAAATGAAACTAAGGTGATGGTTTTCCTATTGAAGTGTAATAGGCTCAAAGTATCCAAAATCAAGAGGGGGGAGGGGAAGTGAGGAGAGGGGAGGAAGGGGGTAGGGAGGGAGGAAGAGAGAAGGAGATTACCTTGAGAATCAAACGTCATGAGGAGTTCTGGGTGTGGCTGTTGGCATGTGTAACCAAATATACAAGAAACTGATTAACATTCTGAGTGATAGAGTACCAAAGATTTACCAACCTGGATGAAAGAGGCTAAAGGAGGCTGTGACTGATCATAGGGGTCACCTGGGATCCTCCCATTTTTTTTTATTGTCAGAGGTGGGCCAAGAAATCTGCTCAGTCTGCAAGGACTCTTCAAATATGGCCAAAGAGGATGACAGAAAAGGAAGAACCACCCAGAGGGTAGAGCCACGAGCCATGAAGAAAGATATTCTGGGGGTACTGCTGTCCTCCCCATCAAGTGCAGAAGCACTGTCAGGGACCGTGCACCAGCTCTTGAAATAGCTACCTACATGATTTCAGATTTCTTTGAACTAGCAACTACTGTGTGTTCCCTCTGTTTGCAATTGCATTGTCTGTGTTCTAGCCTCACACACTGGGTGAGAAGACGTCTCATTAATTCATGGGTTTCGGGAACAAGAGAAGCCACATTCAGACGGATGAGATAATATGGTAAAAATCTTGAACATCAGGCCTGGTGCCATGGTTAAATGGGACTTTTGAGTTGGCTGTCTTGGGAAGGAAAGAAGTATATTTTATGTGCAAAAAGGAGAGTTCACTGAACACAGTTTAACAGAAGCCTGGACTGTGATATTAGTGGTCAAAAATATTCCCTGGCCTTTCTTTGGAAAGGATTGTATTTCTCTACCTTGGTTTTGCTGAGCTTGGCCATATGACTTGCTTTGCCCCATGAAATTTGAGTGGAACTGACATCCAGGCAAAACTTTTACAACTTTTTTAAGCCAGGACCCAGTTCTGGCTTTATTTATCTTTTAGTTCTGCCATTGGACCAACTGGGTTCCAGATAAGGCCTCATTCATCAAACTGAGTCCCAGAGTCAGGAAAACATGGTACACAGCTACAGTCAAAATATAATGGACACGAATCTCCGACATCACATAAACCTTTGCTGTTATAAGCAACTGAGATTTGGGGGCCATTTCTTATCTCATTACAATCCGGCTTATCCCAACTGATAACAGCCATCAGTTTATCGGCTTTCATCTGCATCCTGTTATCTCATGGTCTTCCCACAGTGCTACATGTTCAGACCTCACATCTACAGTTAAGACAGAAAAAAAGGGGAAAAAAAGACGAGGCACAGGCCTCCTTTTTAATGCATCAATGGCCAAAAATGTGTAGTTCCAAGGAAAGCACAAAAATGAAGTTTTTTTGTTTTTATAGCCATTAATGGTAGAGAGGAAATCTAGGACATACTAATTTAGAAACTCTACCTGTAAGTCATAATTTTTATAATTTATTAGAAGTAATTTAAGTAAAATGCTTTGCTCAAATCTGGTCTTCCTCTCCAACCCTTCTGCTACTATTCACTTTCCAGAGTTCTCAAGTAACTGTTCCACGCATCCTGCCCAGGTTACAAATGTGCATTTGTGTTTTTTGAACCTACTTCTTTAGATCTGGGTTTGGAATTGTATTCTTCAACCTTTTTTTTTTTTCCTCTTAATAATCTTTTGGGATTCCTATCCAAACATCCTATTAGAGGTTTTCTGGAAAAAATATTTTCAAGTGTTTTACTTTTTAAATAACATCATAAAACACTGAAATCAACCTGGGGATTTGGGCACCTTGGAAGGAAGAACAGTAAGTGTAAAGGCCCTGAGGCAGGAAAGAGCTTCATGGGGAAGGCAAAGGGAGAGTGGATGGAGCAGACGTCAGCAAGTAGCATGGCCAAGCCACGAAGTCTGGAAGCACCTTAAAGAGATGGAATTTGGTTCATTTTGTCCTAATTTTACTGAGAAGGCTTTGGAAGACTTTAAACCAGTAAGTGATGTACTTGCATATTTACAGATTTATGTAAGTTACATATACGTATATATATTTTCAACATTCTGCCTGCCGTGCGCAAGTGAACTGAAAGAGAGAGGAGAAATGGTGGGGCCAGGTAAGAGTCTGTTTTCTTTCCCCCAGCGACAGGTGATTGCATTAGGACTGGAGGAAATGAAAAGCAACAGGATTTGGGAAAAGGTCTGAAGGCAGAGCTGATAGGACATGCTGGTGGGGAGAACGCTTGTCGACGAAAAGAGCAGACTAACAGAGGAAGACTCCAAGGTTTGGGGCAAGATGAACTGGCAAAATGGTGATGCCATCAGCCAAGATGGGGAGCCTGGGGCAGGCGTGGAGATGGAGGGGGTTCAGGCATTCTTCTTGTGGTCGTGTGAAGCCTGAGATACCCACTGGATACTCAGGGAGAGGTGAGGGCAGGTGAAGAGCTGAAGTTCTGGCTCAGGAAGGGGTCCGAAGAAGGGCATGTAAAGAAAGGAGACTGTGTGGGCTCACCTTGGGAGTGAGTTTGAACGGGGAAGAAATTCAAGGCCACAGTCCTGGGCACACCAACATGAGAATGTTACAGAAAACCTGAGGACCCACTAAAGGATTCAGAAGGAGGACCCAAGAAGGCATGAGGAAAATCGGGCCTGAATCATGGGTGACAATCAAGTGGAACAGTCCAGGGAAGGAATGAGTGATGAAAGCTATCAGGCGTGACAGATAAAGTCTTGGGACTGGCCACTGGATTTACCAGAATGGAAGTCAGTGATGGCTTTGCCAAGAGCTTTCTTGTCTCAAGTGGGGCAGGGGGACAGGGCACAAGTATGTGTGAGTCTCCTGAAATGTTCTGCCATGAAATGGAGCAGAATCACAGACTGTGAATGTTCCCAGAAAGCTCAGTGGTCTTTGGCGCCAACAGCTATAATCAGTAAACCACAGAAGTCACTTGAGTCAAACAAAATGGATATTAAGTCTCTGCTCTGTGGAGAGCCTAGTTCTACTAAGCAGTCCTGGTGGAGACAGGACTCAAAAGGGGCAGGACATACCCCATCCTAATGAAGAACATAATGAACAGCACTGCAAACAGAGGGTGTGGGGTGTCAGGATCCTACAAGCAGGAACACTGATTCTGGCTGGAAGATTAGGGAAGATGGAAGTGACCTCAGTTGGCCTTGAAGCCTGATGAAGACCAGTGAGCTTGGTCTACTTGTCAATAAAAGTTAAAAATTAAACCATTCACCACGCCCCCAAAAATCTTCCCATTGGGTAACATAAAGGCTAAAGGTTTTAAGGTAATAATTTACCTCCTGGGAGTGTAGGGCAATGTAGAAAATTTTGAAAAGCTTAAAGGAATTTACTGGAAAGGAATGAGGACCCCGCATTCTAACTCGCTCAGGTTAGCCTTCAATCTTTCCCCTTAATATTTTGCTTTTGAGATGAAGGGAAGGGGTCTTTCTTTCATTTGTTGCTCTGGGGTGGACGTTGTGGGATGGGGAAGAGAACTCCTCTCTCCTAAGATAATTCTGAGAAGTAAGAGAGGATATCATCTCATCCTAAAAGAAACAAGAGCCAGAACTCCAGAGAATAAAACTCCAGGGAATAAATCCATCCAAAGGAATAGTTGCAGAGACAGAGAGTCTGAATTATCTGAAGCATGTGGAAGTGAACCAGCAATTTTAAACTACGCTTTTAAGGGTTAACATCACCCAAATATTGCGACTAGACTAGACACCTTCAGCTTAAGGTTCATATATTGGGCTTATTTTTGTGGGATGCATTAATAATAATAATAGTAGTAATAATAATATTAAAGCACTGACCACATCTATGGTGAGATAGTAAACGTAAAAGCTGAATTCTGGGGCGCCTGGGTGGCTCAGTCGGTTAAGCGACTGCCTTCGGCTCAGGTCATGATCCTGGAGTCCC